CACAAGAGAGAGAGGTCCTCACCCCGGTGGTTCTAGCAGAGTCTGGGGCTGGAGTCTCGTTGGCTCGGTGGGATAGGGTCTTAGGGGTGGGACGGCCCCCGCCGAGTCTCCAGTCCTGAGGGATTCGTGCCCGCGGCGCTCGGGGGACTCTAGCAGTGGGAGGCTTTAGTGTGGCCCAAAGGCTTTCTGCTTTCATGAGAGAGGTATCGTCTCCTTAGCAGCTGGGGTAAGCAAGGACCCCAGGGGATAAGGGCCCCCAGATATTCACAGAGGGAAACACCCTTGAGTCCAGACACCCAGACGTTCACAGAAGCACCAGAGACAGACTCAAGGATTCAGGGGCGTCTGACCCCGGAGCTCAGACCTAATACCAGATGGCCTAGACTGGGCACTTGCCCTGTCCTTTGCCGCAGGGTTTCCCAAGCTCGGCGCCATTGACATTCAGGAATGCTTTGTGGGGGGGCCTGTCCCCCGTGTACTGCGGGATGTTCAGAAGCATCCCTGGCCTCTACTCAATAGATGCCATTATTGGGGCGCCTGGGTGGCTCAGTTGGTTAAGCGTCTGACTCTTGATTTCAGCTCAGGTCATGATCTCGCGGTTCATGAGTTCAAGCCCCAAGCTCTGTGCTTACAGGGTGGAGCCTACTTGGGATTCTCTCTCTCTTCTCTCTCTCTCTCTCTCTGTCCCTCCCCTGTCTCAAAATAAATAAATAAAATTTAAAAATATATTTAAAAAAATAGATGCCAGTATCACCCCCACCTCCACTCGTAACGACTCCCACATTTTTCCAGGCATCACGAAATGTCCCCTGGGGAGGCAGAATCTTCCCGTTGAGTGAGAACCACAGCTATAGTGTTTTTTCCCCATTGAATCCCCCCCACCCCATCCCCGGCAATCCTTTCAGGTAGACGTTGTTTTTCTCATCAGACATATGGGGAAACTGAGGCATAGGGCGGTCACATAGATTCCCAGGGTCCTGGGTGAGTGAGTGGGAGCAGACTGGCTCTTTGCAGTCTGGGCTTGAAACCAATGGCCTGAGGCTCGCTGGCCACACCCCTGCTGTTTACAATAAAAAACTCCTAAAGCCAGATGTTCCCAGGACAGAAAAGACTTCCTCCGTATTAAGTACGACTTTATTGGAAGCCGGATCCACTCCCTCGCCTGGCAGAAAATTGCTCTGTAAATTACAGGTTTAAAGGGTAAACGGGGCCCCGTGAGCTCCTGACTTAAAACAAGGTAATAATTTAGGGCCTAGAACGGTCTGGTTGAGCGAGTTCCCATAATAGTTAATCTCACACCACACCCCCATCATTCTCATTTTATTAAAACACAAACAAACAAACAAAAATGGGATAGAAGCAGGAGATTTTGGACAGTTGCCCAAGACCTCACAGCAAGTTAGTGACGGAGCCTGACAGCCGCCGAGCTGTCCTCTTCCAACCACACCGGGAGTCAGAGACCTGGCCTCGGGCTCACTGTCCCCCAGGCTCGGCCACAGACACAGGCTGTGTGTTCTGAGGCCAATTCCTTTCCCTCTCTGGGCCTCCCTCGCTCTGCTGAGCACACTATTCCCTCCTCTGCCAGCCTTGGGGGACTGCTCCACCTTCACGACTGGGGGTGTGGCTGTGATCCTGGTGCCCCTCTGGGCCCCCCCC